CCAAAATCCAGAATCGGCCACTAGGGTTATCTGTCACTAGTGCTTAAAACCCAAAATCGGCCACTAGGGTCCAAAATTAAAAATCGACCATTAATGTTCAAAATCCAAAATCAGCCACAAGGGTCCAAAATCCGATACCGGCCGCTAGTGTTCAAAATCCAAAATCGGCCACTATGGTCCAAACTCTATAATCGGCCACTAGAGTCCAGAAATGAAAATTGGCCATTAGTATCCAAAATCCAAGACCGGCCATAAGGGTCCAAAATCCCAAATCGGCCACAAGGGTCCAGAATACAAAATCTGCCACTAGTGTTTAAAATCCAAAATCAGCCACAAGGGTCCATAATCCCAATTCGGCCACTAGGGTCCAAACTCTATAAGCGGCACCTAGAGTCCAGAAATGAAAATTGGCCATTAGTGTCCAAAATCCAAACCGGCCACTAGGGTCCGAAATCCCAAATCGGCCATTAGGGTCTACAATCCAAAATCTTTCACTAGTGTTCGTAATCTAAAATCAGCTAGTTGTGTCCAAAATCCAGAATCGGCCGCTAGTGTCCAATATCCAAAATCGCCCAAAAATGTCTAAAATCCAAAATCGGGTTCAAGAGTCCAAAATCCCAAATCGGGCACTAGTGTCCGAAATCCAAAATCGGCCAGTTGTGCCCAAAATCCAGAATCGGCCATTAGAGCCAAAAATGAAAATCGGTCACAAGGTATCCGAAATGCATAATCGGTCACTAGTGCCCAAAATCTATAATTGACCACAAGTGCCCAAGTCCATAATCGTCCACTAGAGTCCAGAATTCAAAATTGGCCACTATTGTTCAAAAATCAAACATCAGACGCTAGTGTCCAAAATTAATAATCGGACATGGATTATCTAAATTCAAAAACGGATATTTGTGCCTAAAATCAATAATCGTAATAACGGAAGTACGTAGATCTGAAAACGAAGATTAGGAGGTCTCAAGATCTGACTAGGTGTTAGTGACGTGCGGTTGGCTTGGCTAGGATCGTTTTCCAGTTTCTGCCGAGCTGCTTCTAAAGCTACGTCGATCGGAACGTTGGTAAACAACGATTCTACGTAGAAGGACATCATGATCTCGCTTTCTTGAATCCACAAAGTGGGCTGAGTTGGGCCCTGTAAAATCTGAGTTACATGTTATTGGCGATAATACATTAGCTCGATAAGCGGACAAATCATATGCGAAGGTGTTCACGCATGACGCAATCGGTCTATTTAGATATTTCTGCAAGGAAAGTTCTCTCTCTTTTTTTAATTATTTTAAAATGTTTATCGTCTTTTGTAGTGTCGCGGCGAGAACTGAAAATAGTGCGCTAGTGGCTATAGGCCAAAAATCACGAATGTCGAGCTTAATTATAGGATGCTTCGAGTAAAACAACAATTAGCACCGAGAAAAATCGGGTCAAATTTGGGTCAAGTTCTGAATTCTATTGTTATGTACCATCACTCACTTACTCACCCATCCCCGTAATATAGTGGATTCGCCTCCTATTATCTAGGGGGCAGTAGTTACAAAAGTTATATCTTCGGTTTTACTGAGCATTATTCGCTGATTTAACGGTGATATGCTCTCTTTTTAAAAGAAAAACTTTTTCCTCTAAGTTTTCACGACGCTCCGATCACACTTATCCTGATATTTTTACAAGGAAAAGTTTTGTTTTGAATCACACGCCATGTTTGTGAGATGTTTATCGTCTTCTGTAGAGTCACGACAGGAACTGAAAAAAATTGCGTCTCCCATTTTTTAAGGCACAAACTAAGTTGTTTCGGGGGCTTCCTTCTCTCTTTAGTGTATGCTGCCCCCAATAATCTCTAGTGCAAATGTCGATCAACGAAGATACTCAGAAATAAACAATACGTGACATCGAGTCAAAATCGGGTGAAGTTCGGCATTATATTGTTACTTACCATCGCTCAGTTCGATGACATATGCGGTTTTGCCTCCCCTGAGAGGCAGTAGCCACAAAAATTGAAAAGCCTCTGTGTCATTTGTGAGTTGTTTAGATGGTAAAGTATCAATCAGTGTGGGTTGGTCCCTTAAGCAGGGTCACTAGGTCGAGAATACGAAGCTACGAATTCGAGCATAATAAAATAGAAGATGGACTCTCGAATCAAAGAATTTGCTTTTGGAGGGTGACTATAAGAGGGTTGGACCTCGAGACAAGATTGCTTTTCTTGATTGGCTTGCGTGTGTGTGTGTGTGTGCGTGCGTGTGTGTGTGTGTGTGTGTACATAAGCATCGATAGAATCTCTGGGAAAAGTTTGATTGTCATCGCTGGCATTTGTCCAAGTTGATTCCTTTTGATCGCAAAATGAAACTCCCTTGGAGATGCGGTTCTTCTAAGCTCATGTTACAAATATCTAATGTGCGTGGGCAGCAAGTTTCATCGCGTCTTCTCGTTTTATCATAAGTGGAGGTCTCAGAATTCTTTCCCAGAGAAAAAAAGAGTGATTGTGTACAAATCTTGCTAGCACTGTCTGTCGGCAACTTTGATATTAATATGATGTGTTTTTCCATCCCACTTTCTCTTAGTTTAGGTCGCGTGTTCACTTAAAGTAAAAAAGCAAATTAGACACATTTTAAAGTGCAAGAATTTTAAATCTCCCCGAAAAACCCACTAAAGTGAATTATCATCTAACAATGGATTTCAAATAAAAGGAACAGAGAAAAAAGAAAAGAAGATTAGGAATTTTTTTCTTAACTTTTATTTATAAAATTTTGGCCTTTGTTGGTTGAGAAGGCGGGTTTTAAGATGAAAAATGAAATCCTTTTTTTCCCCTATGTCAACCAATTTATTACAGAAATGTTAAAGATAATCGAGGATACGTGCTCGAAAAAAATTGCTTTCTCTAAATCTCAAACCATGAAGGGCCAAAAGAGTCTATATTTGTCAATATTTGTAACGTAATTTCTGGCCTGTCCTCCTTCTTTCACAAGATCACGACATTTTTTATGGTCGAGTTCCTCGAAATCAGTCGAGTAATTTCTTGAAGTGGGTGTTACTTTAACCTCCTCCCGCTGCTCTACCAGTTCTTCAAATCCGTTCAACTCGGGTTAAGGAAAATTGGAACACAAAACCATGTTTCCCTATCAGCCACGCATCTGTTGCGCGGAGGTTTAACAAAAACAGGGTATACAAGTTATTAACAAACTCTTAGCGGCTTGTAGTGTTCCTGAGTTAATGGCGCCTTCTCCAATTTGTCTATTCTTTTGAGTGAAAAGGCGTCCTTTAAGCGTAAACCATACAATTGAAATACCGGAAACATCGCCCTCAGCCGAAACCGCTCGACTAGCAGACCATTTGTGTTAATGACTTCCCAGAAATCATAAAACGAAAGAAGTGCGTGACCGATCTGATCCAATCAAATGACCGGTACAATTTCGAAAATTTAAAACTTGTTGTGGGAGAAATAATAATCAATGACTTTGGAGAATATCATTCATTTAAAAAGCGAAGGGATTAATTCAAGAGCAAAACCAACTTAAGAGAGGGTGAATGTTTTAAATAAGAATATATGGCGAGCCATTTTGTTAAACTGCACAAAATATATACTATTAATGTGGATATTTTCTTCATCCATACCTTCAGTTAGTTTTTCATGTTCTCTAAATTGTCCTTTAAATGAAAGAGAAACTCTAATATTGTTTTAATTTGCAAGGGTAACCATACAATAAAATGATGTTAAACCCCGCAGAATCGAACGAATATGGCTGAAGAAAAAATAAATCTCGAATCGGATTTCAACTGGCAAACGTCATAGGACAAATTCACCTTTTATTTTCATGAAACACAAACTTTGCCGTTGCTACAAACAGCTTGCCAATACATTGGACCTTTTAGTCCAAATCTGTTCCACTATTGTCTCATGTTGGCGTCATTTGCAAAGCGCAGTTTGTTAGCGTCGCACGGTCAACTATTTGCACTATTGTTCCACACTGAAATTGCAACCAGTTCTAACATGAATATGCTTTCAGCAACCTAAGAGAAAAGCTTTCGAGATATCAAATGTCTTCTGCATTTTCGTCGCCACAGCGTAAAGTGACAACGCGTCGCCAAAAAGGTAAAAACTTGCTCAAGGTATTGTTCCCTCGTTAGGAATACTTTTTCTCAAGGCAATTGTGCTATTTCTGCGGGGGTCGTATTAAAAATGACCGCAGCCAAAGACCCGGATATCGATAAAACTTTCGAAGGAGGCTATAAAATTTTAGTCACGTAGACAAAGCGATGTTTAAGAGTGAAATTTCTCCCATGCTTATAGAAAAAAAAAACGGAAGTTCTTTCTTCAATAATGTGGCGTACATTTATTTTATACAGAATTGCCTCAGGAAGGTACAACTGTTTTCCTTTTTATTATCATTATATTTTGATATACTTTCTTCTTCTTTACTTTTTTCCGTTTATTTTCTTTATTTTTTTTTTGTTTGCGTGGAAAGTGCGCAATCTTTTCTGGCCTTTTTTAATTTCGAACTAATTTGTTAAGGTGGTGGATAAAACGCTTTATACTAGTTCTCGGAAACCAAGAAATCTTTATCATGTTTGCGTAGGACAGATAATATTATCTTTTATATTCTTCTGTAAATAGTCTTAGCAGTGTTCCAGAACATCAGGCTTCTCATTTCAGATCAAAATAGGAAAACATATAGAAATTTACTATATGCCATTTTGCCAGTTTATGATATATATGCAATTTTTAATTTCTCTTGTATTTTAAAATCCTTGCAGACACAATTAACATAGGGGTGTTTTTCTTTTTCGCAATGTAGGGTGAGACTGGAGATAAATTACTCATTGGGGCAGGTGTTGCCGACGAAAGTTTACCCGCCAATTTTAACAGCATGAGAACAAACGTCGTTTGCGTGGAAATTATTGCACCGTTTCTACCTTAAATTTGTGGATTGTTTTGTCTCAATAAGACACTTGTATGGGCGATATTAAACCTCTAATGTAGATCGCGTGGTTTTAATCCGGAGTATAAAAATCATGACTCCATTCGGAAATCCTCAACTTGAATGTATGGAGTTGAAATCGCTACATTCAGTCAAACTACAGAGCGATCATGTATTTTGGGGCTACTGCTATCCTCTGCGCGGTCCTTTTGTCTTCAAGTGAGTATCTTTCCTGAATTTCAGCCTTTTTACAATTATTCCATTTCTATTTTTATATTCTTCTTTTTGCACGTAAATATGAATTGAACTTTTTTCTCCCTGGAGACCAAACTATTTTTAAAGCGATGTCATCTGTGATTCAAAGGAAGACATTGGATTTATGTACACCAAAGTACTGTTGAGCTAGTGAGGAGACAAACCGAAGAAAATGGCTTACATTATTAGGCACAAATCTTCAGTTTTCTTCCTGTTTTCACCGATATATAAATTTTAGTTCCTATTTTCTCTTCCGTTTGAAATAATCATTTTCTTTCGCTTGCATGAGGCAGACTAAGCAACTCTTTTCCCTTGAGTCGAATACATTTTGATCCTGCAACCTCTTCATTCTAGAAGATGCAGATACCTTTATCGTGGATTTCATGTCAATAGCATTGTCACGTATATAAACAAACAAGTTTCTTTTGATTCTAAAAACTGTTCAATAACCACCGAACTCGAAATTGTCGACAATCTATAATTGGCCTCTACAAATAGTTTTCAAAATACATGCAAATTGGTTGATAAATCTTTCGTTTACCTAAAAAGCATAAAGTATACACAGCACAATTGATTGAAAAAATGTATACTTGCTATTATTGAAGAAGAAAAACCCAAAACAAGAAAAGGAAAATCATTGATGTCTTCTGAAGTGCCAATTTTGTCTTTTTATGATACGCTATAAAAAACAAGTATGTTAATTTTTTTTTATTTTCCTTAAACGAAAAGCCCATGACGCATTCGCAATTGAAAGTCACTTGAATACAAAAAGCTAATAAAATTATTGATAACCAAGATAAAGGAAAATTGCCCCAGGGATAAACATTGAACCAGGTCAATACTTAAAATATATTCTTGCCTTTCCGCTAATAGGTTGCTTGAATAATTCTGTTGGCAGAACTTAGAGCTTAATTTTCCCTTTTAAACAGCGGCTTTCAGTCGGCAGAAAATTGTCAGATATCTGACCAGAATTTGTGCGTATCTAAAAATAATATATGTGCAGTGGGAAAAAATATAAATATTGCATAAATTGTAACTCGTGAACGTGCGTGCGGTTGGGAATCGCTCTATGATAGAGGACCACGTTGGTAATAAACATCTTGAATTCACGAATGGGACTAGTTCGAGAGCTGTGGTCAACGAGTTTGCTTAAAAATCTTGAAAGGTGTCTAATGTGTCTTTCGACCGAGACGAAAGACCACCTCAAACCAGTCACGAAGGTTTTTCTTTTCATTTTTTTTTTTTTTCATCATGGAAAACATGTCTGAACGTGTGATTTTATCCACAATCCACACAGACAAAAAAAATTTCCACAATCGTAAAAGTGATGATAATTGTCACCAGACACAACGGAAATATCCAGAAGTTTTTTTTAACATCTAAGCCAATGGGGCTACGGAGAAATGCTGGTTACATTACATTGCATAATATATATTCTGATAGAACTTGTAGAATAAACAAGTATTTCTGCAAAATTCACTCAGCCTGGGCATAATTTCAAAATATGCCAGAATCCGTCGAGGAGTGATATCATCTTTGAGTGTTCAGACGCTTAAATTACGATTCAAACAGTCAGCGAATTAGGGAACAACCTTTAAAAAGCTATTAATGTAGTTTTTATTTCTTTGATGCGCTCCTTATCCAACTCCGCTTTAAAAAATAGCATTTTACATCATATTTGAATTGTGAACAAATTTGAATTTGTTCAAGTTGTGCTGTTTTAATGAGTTTCTTTTTCCCCCAAAAGTCGTAAGGGGAACCCAAGTTACAAACAGTCGGGGGCGTTATGTTTTTCTCCATATTTCCACTTGCGATTCCCAATAAAGTGCTCCTTTCTAGCTTTAACGATAGTGCCGTTGGCACTACATAAGATGAGTGATCATTATTTTCCTACGTTTTAGTTTATCCAGTTTGTTCTGTAAATATTACGGAATGAACATATTAAGTCATAAGTCATGGATTTTATTGTACAACGTACCAATTCATGCAAGTGTTCATTCAAGTAACAAACTCAGCACTAACTTGAACCTCTGCCGATGCCAAACTGAAATCGTTCCCATTACAGAACGTAGAGCACTGATTTCACAGTACACGGTTTGCCATGAATCCTGTGTGCATGGATACTTCAACTTTACAGACAATTCTATGTTGTAGAATAATTTTTGGGAAAGAGAAATCTATAATACAACAATTGTTGTTTAACTCTTAGGTTTTTCTGGAACTTATGGCATTTCAACCAGGATACAAGTTCATCCGATGAACACAGGCTTTGATCCGGGAGATAACCTTACTTTGACTTGCCTAACAGGGCAAAAAGGCCCCGTTGACGTAATCGACTGGTACAAAGATGGCCAGCTTCTCAACAGCAGTGGGCATTCAAACTCCTCCTGTTGCGCAGAAATATCCTTGATAAACATTACCAAGGAGGATGCAGGGAAGTATGAATGTGAAGTCAGGAAAAATGACGAATATGACAAGGGTGTCTTCCAGCTTCATTTAAACTGTAACTAAATGCAACATGTTCAAAATACTTCAACATTAAAGTAGTAGCTGCTTGTCTAGGCGCGAAGGAAATGGACCAAGAACTGACTCTGAGAAACAAACAAAAAAAAACCTTTCAATTTATATTTAGGAAAGAAACAAATAAACACTCTCTCTAAAGAGGTTAACCATAAGGATAAGGGTTAAATGAAAAAATTTATTATCCCAGTTTCTACTATCTAATCCATCAGGCACCCATTTCCAAATCAAAAAAATTTTTCAAGGGGGTAAGCTTCTCAAAAATGTGATTCTGCGTCGGTAGGGGTAATGCAAGATTATTTGGTTTTATCAACTGTAAAATGGCCATCGTTTTCACGGTAACATTTCAAGCCCCTCCTCAGAGCGAATATAGCAATTGTAGGTTATTTCTTGTCCCTATATCAAAATGTTGACCCGGTTATAGGTTATTTGTCTATAAATTTATCCTTTAAATTTATCTTTTAAATCTAATTTTGTTTTTTTCTGTCATACGCGTACGTGTCAAGCTGCCCCCAGAATACTACCGTTGATAAAGCTAGTGGAAATCGAAGAAGGGGATGACAGACGGATCATATGCCAAGCTCAAGGATGGCCCACACCCTCCATCAAATGGAAACGGGACACAGAAGAAATTTCAGAGAGCGACGATTTCAGTACATGGAAATATCCGAATAAAAACCAAGTGATGTTAAGGATCAAATCAGCTAAAAGTCGTCACCAGGGGGATTACACGTGTGAGGCTATGAATGCATTTGGTAAAGCAAGCGAAACCGTATCGGTCGTTATTGAAGGTAAGTGTGACCAGCTGTAGAAGCGATTTCTTGCTTGAATTATTGACCAATTCAGTGACTGGCTGACTGACTGACAGCTTGACCCACTGTCTGACTGACTGACCGACTGACCAACTGACTGACTGACTGACCGACCAAATAACCGACTGACCGACTAACCAACCCACCGACCGACTGACTGGCCGGCTGACAGACCGACCGACCGACCAATCGACTGACTGTCCAACCGACCTAGCGAAGGACGGACCGACCGACAGACCAACAGACCGACTGACCGGCTGACGGACGGACGGACGGACGGACTGAATGAATGGCTGATTGAGTCCTGAGTGACGTGTTGGAGGACTTACTGACTGAATCACTGAATCTGCGATCGGTGTCATAGCGGTGAATATTTACCGAGCTGCGCAGCTAGCCACCTCCACTTTGGTGAATAGTTGTTACTTATTGATACTCTTTCCATTTTCAAGGAATTTTCACCGTCCAAAAGAGGAACTGCAAGCATATTTCGAAGTACCTATTAAGGCTTTTGCACTCCAAAAATCCTTTTTTTTTTCTTTTTCAGAATCAGAACCGCCGCGAGTCGGTCGAAACCCTGAGATCATAGCTCATCCTCGCTACACGATCGCCTCCAAAGGCTCAAATGTCACTTTAAAGTGTGACGTCATGTATGTTCGCTCGTATTTAGCTGATTGGTATTGGCTACTCAACGGCACGGAATTTACACCGGGACGAGAACGGAGTCGTTATAAAGAAGACACATTTCATTTCGACTACAACTTTACGATGGTGCTTCACATTCTAAATGTTTCTGAAAGAGATGAAGGGCTCTACGAATGTCTAGTGTTTGGTTTAGTGGAAACCAAAAGTCCTTTCATGACCTTGACGATTGATGAAAAAGGTAAGTCTGTCTTTGTAATACTTTACATTATACAGCTGACTCCGCGATGGAGCAAGGTAAAGCGAATCCTGTATTTTGATGACAAACACAAGTGGGCAAGAATGGGTCATCTTGCCGCTTTCTTCGCAAAAGAGACGCCGGGACGTAATGGTTGGTGCTCCAACTTCGAGGCCTGGGTGGGCAATTTTCTTGTGCACTTGCTTCTCTGCGATGCAATTAGGCCGCGGTTATTCGAAGGCCTTTTATAACGCTATCCACTGGATCAGTCGTTATCCGGTGGATAGCACGGTACGTTTTGTTAACATTTATCCGCTGGATAGTTCTTTATCTGTTAGATAACGTTATCCACCCTTTAAATAACTGTGCCTAGGAGGATAGATAGGTACTGGTATAATATAACAGTTCATGCCCTCTTTTCCAGATAACGTTCAAAACATTTCGACCAAATGGGAAACAATGTATGTGGCTCTCAACACCCAGGTACAACTCAAATGCACATCCATGTACCAAGCTTTCATTGAGGTGGGAATGTTTTGGATGTTTCAAGGCGACAAATTGAATCAATCAGATCCACGCTACAAAACATACACGCTCGGGATTGCGGACAGCTCGGAGACCAAACGGAAAAGGGAGGAGATGATCCTGCTCATTAGTAATGTGTCTGAGTCTGATTTTGGTAATTACACTTGTGCATTGAGTACTTCCCTTGGAATATCTACGGAGGAGATTGTCCTTGTGGAAGCAAAACAAGAAATTGGTACAGTAAAAGTCTCATAATTTTGAGAGTGTCGCGCATAGTTGATTAGGTCTCTAGTATGGAGGGCCATTGCGAGTGAGGTGTTCTATATTAACATGCCTTTGCTGTGGAGCGGTTTCGTAGGCTACCCCCTCTCTATCTTACTCCAGAAAACTCGCGCCACTCTGTTAACCAATCAAATCAAAACTAAAACCAATCACAACTTGCTCACTCGCGTTTTCCCGCGCTTTAGACAATTTGCTTGTTTTTAATTTGGGTTTCGATTGGCTCTGAGGTATTTTCCTTTCTTCTGATTGGAATAAAATCAATCGAAAAGTGCTCTCATGTTGATAAGATAATATCTCATATAAACTCGTCTTTAATCCTGAAACAGTGACCGGCAAACTAAGCCTTTCGCTATGCCCCTCTTTTTGAACTTAATTAGTTTGAGCTGTGATTTAATATTGAATGCAAAGTTGTACTGCTTGCATTTCGTAGGGTTTTCATCATCGGATGACAGCTCTTCCCCCGTGTGGATCATCCTCTTCCCTGTTGTTGCTGGGGGAATTCTCTTGACTTTGATTACATTGGTTCCTCTTCGCAAGATGATAAAGAAGAGGCAAGAGTGGAAACTGCAAGGTTTGACGTTATATCCTCAATAGTTCATAACTGAAAACTAATCCCTATTGACCACAGGCCAATAAAGGATTCGAAATGGAAATGTCCGATGAAAACTAACATCATAAATCACTAATATTGTGACTGAGGTAACGCCTTATCTGTGCGCCTTCAACGAAAGGGCATTTAGAAATTTATGAATTTAGTTAGTACTGAAAGTAGTACTTTGTAACTTGTCTGATAGAGATCCTGTCTTTGTTAATATGGCTTACTTCATAGGTTTATGTTACTTAAGTAAAATGTCAGCGTTCATTAAAACACCACTTCAAGAGCAAAGTGTATTTAGTAATATAAGAAGTAAGGTTTGTGTTTGAGCAAGTTACCGAGGGGTTTCATGAAAGGGGATTATGTGCACTACTGAAATAGGTGTCCTTGGAAGAGTATTAGTTTTCATTCAGCTGCTATCAGTAGGCCGCTTCACAAAGCTCGAGTAAGGTACCGGCCCCAGAGTTAGTGAGTCTGAAGGGGGAACGCGTTGGCGAGGAAAGAGCGTGGAAAGAGTGAGGAAAGAGTGCGCTTGAACTAAAGAATGAAGGAAAAAGGAGGGAATAGCAAAGGAAGTAATTGAGAGTACGAGTAACGAGCGAGGTACGAGTGTGGAAATGTACCGTGAGAAACAAACAAGGAAAAGGAGTAATGAATGACGAAAGGTCAAAGTACAGTTAGGAGCGAAAGAAGAACGAGTTAGAAAAGATTAGAAATCGACACAGGCACAAACAAAGAAAGCCAAGTGAGAAAGAAAGAACGGATGTATAGTGCAGAATGAACAAAATTCTACTAAAAGAAGAGAAAGTCAACGAAGGATAGAGACACGGGTGGAGAAAGAGTCTTAACTCAGCAACTTCCGTGGTGCGAGGAATTAGCGAGCAGGGATGAAGAAATACCAGCATACGAAAAAAGACTGACTTTGATCTCAGTATACATTGGACAACAAGGTAAGAGGGAGAGTCAGAACGATCGAGTGAGACCGAAAGGGAAATGCGCGCGATTGGAATGAACAGAAAGATAGGTAACAGTGTGTGGTGAGCGGAAAGAAGGAGAAATAGAGAAGGAGGCTCGAAAGAGCAGACTGAGGGGAAGTGAGGGAAAAAGTGATACGCCAATAGCCGCTTGTGAAATTTTCAATTGAGTGTCGAAAGGAATCCGTGATTAAATTCCAGAAAACTCGCGCCAATCTCTCAATGAATCAGACGTAAAACTATAAACAATCACGACTTTATTTCTCACTTTGAGATCTCTATGGCTTTTAAATATATCTTCTTTTCTTCCGATTGATCGTTGTATTTACTTGGGCTGAGTTTAAAGACTCTCAACTAAAAAGCATTATAAATTATTGTCAACAACTGTATTTCCAAAGAAATAGTGAGCGCTTAGTTGGCATCAGTGTACCTAGTTTGTGGGGTTTTGTTACCAATGGTTTCTTAATGAGGGTTTGAATACTCAAATGTCTAAAAATAAGTGAAGGGCATCAATATACCGCGGATCCACAATCTTTCCAAGAATTAGACTGCCGACTACATTTGTTTTACAGGAAAATCTTGTGACGGACAGTTCAAATACGACGTTTTTGTGACATTCAGCAACAAGGACCGTCAGTGGGTGGCGGACAATATAATTCCCCTTCTGGAGGGGAACCAAATTAAATACTGCATCCACAGTAGGGACTTTGAACTGGGGAGGCCTCTAACGGACAACATGGCGGAGAGTGTCTACTCCAGCCGCAATGTACTGGCGGTGATGTCCAAGAACTACTTGGACAGCAAGTTCTGCAAGGGAGAACTCGAAATGGCGCTGTATCGAAGTAAAATTGCTCATGAAGGTTCCCTGTTGGTCGTTAGAATTGACGGAATAAGGAAAAAAAAGTTGCCCAAAGCATTAAGGGAACAGACATTTGTGGATTATCACAGTGATAAGGACCGCAGCAGTTGGGAAAAGAAACTGCTACGATTACTTGTTGAAACTGAGCAAAATCGATACATCACTAAACTTTGAGGCTAGATTTTACTGTTTCGATACCGCGCAGTCATGAAGTTTTGAAAGTCGTTGATTTCTATAACATTTAGCTACCAAACAACGCACTTTTCACGCAAAATAAACACGCGCTGTAGTTTGTGTCAACATGCGGCACTTAGCAGTTGATTAGAGGAACGGCATAAAACTCAAGAGGATTTTATGTTGATAAAATAGATTTAATAGGTATTCTGGTTCTTAATATAATCAAAACTATAGATTAGTCTTACTTTACAATACAAGAGATACAAAAATACTTGAATTCTTTAACATCAAAGCGAGTACGTCGTAAATTCATGTATTTCAAACAAGCCTTCGCAAATTGATAATTGGTAACCAAGAATAAACTTTCGAACATTTGAAAAAAAACAATTGTCCCTCTCTTCAAGTTGACGATGGCACAAGGGCCTGGTTTTGTAATTTTAGGAAAATTACGCTTCGAAACCTCACCACCAAAACTGATATAAAACAGTTGAGTTAACATTTGTCACAAAACGTAGCATTTTAAAAATTTGTTATTTTACAGACATTGATGAAATAACAAAATATCTACGCCTCTCGAAAATACGACATCTCCGCGTGCAAAGATCATTTCAACTATATCTTAATACGCAAAGATAACAACGTATTCGAGTAATCAAGTTGACCAACATGGTGGTTTTACTTTACACGTCGGAGCTTTTTTTTATCTCCTCTCATTTACCAACAATACTACGGTTGATGGAAAACATTTGTATAATATGAGACCTTGTTTTATTGTTATTTCAGACGATAAAGTAGCTTTTCTGCGAGTTAAGTAAACGTGCAGATCTCTGCATTTGGTGCTATCAAAATATTTGAAAGAATCGATCCAAAAATGCTATTTAATAATATGTAATATCAAACAGATCATTATATTTCCACTTGTGGATACGAATTTATCTTCTCGTGTTGATAAAATTCGTATCCACACGCGGCCATCTGATATCCTCCATATAATTTGAACAAATTTATAGTATTAATAAGAAATATTTACAGGAATTAAAAAAAGCTTTGTTGATGTTCAGAACCTCGAAACGTAATTTACTGATTTTCATCATTATTATCACGTATAGTCCTGCGCGCACTCTTAACGAATAACATACGCGATGGTGCGAGTATAAACGGGAAAAGCCGATGATGAAGGAAGCACAAAAGAGGAAGAACGGCAGCCATAGAATAAAATGCTTATTGACTAAGGTAGCTCGAGCCCAACGGAAAACATTGGATCCTTGGTATGAAGGACAGACCTCGAACCCAATTTTTTTCTGTTGTCCCTGCTACTCTGTCCATAAGTACAAAATATCATAAATACGTTTTTAAACCGGTATTAATTTCAAAAATAATTTTGCCGGTCTTATTAAGAAAAGACCCACAGCATAATAATATTAATTGCTAGTCTAAAGCTGAAAGGGAACAACTCTATAATAAGTTGTCAATGAACCAAACTACGTAAGGCGAAAAGCTCACACTATTTCTTCGGTGTACCTCATCACATCGTATCGTATTCCCGCCAGCGCTATCTTGTTCGTGCCCTACCCTGGTAAGGAGGAGGCGACCACATGTCACAAGCAGTGGGTGGGGGTGGGGCTGCTTGTGACTGTTCCGGGTTGGCTATGGTGTGCGGCCTTGCTTGATCATGATCATGATCATGCGTATACCACGAGTGTCCTGCTTGGTTGTATCTTTTGCTGAGCTCGAAGAGATTAAGAATTGACACTTGCTAAACACAGTCAAGGAAAGAAAGCACATGGCACGTTACGAAAGTTTCAAATTATATCAAAAAAGAACCATTTATGACCGTTAACTTGGCTACCCGTTTTAAATTGAAGAAGTAGAAATGTTACGGAGGGGCGGTTACATTTCTTCTTTTCGTTCAAGACCGGAAGGCAAGGGTAGATACCTTTTCATGAACCGATGCCGTGATTGTTAAAACCTCGCTCGAGGTTGGGTTTTCCACATGCGTACTCTAGAGGATGTCATGAGAGACTTGAGCTTTGACTTAAAATTATCTAAGAAAGGCGTTTCGGTTGATTTGTCAACTTTCCTCAATTAAAAATCCTAAGAACTGGGAATGGTGAGCATTTTGAGCTGACTAAGGTGGAAGAACCAACGTAAGTTACCCTGTTTTGGTCCGCAACAGCTAATTTGTGAATGCCGTTCATGTCATGTTCCGCTACAGTTTAATGACTGTGTCCTATCTCCTTGATTTGTTGCATGGTATATGTCTTAGTTAACCCTTTAACTCCCAGAAGTGATCAACAATTAACTTCTCCCTGTAATATCCATACATTATCGAGCAAACAGGTAAGGAGAATACCCATACTTATCGGGTAAAAGTTGTTACCTTCAACTAACACCAAATTCTTGTATCCATTTTACAAGGGAATTTATAGCAGCCAGAGGGAGAATTAACAATTAGACATTGGGAGTTAAAGAGGTAAAGAGTTAAGCTAACAAGTGATAGAGAAGACATTGATCTCAGTAAACTCTTTGCTAGAGGATACAGCTTCTGATGGTACAGACGGCAGCTTAAACATAGAAGGCGGTTGTGTAAGTCGGCCCTCAGACGAACCTATGGAAAAATGACGAAAAATAATAACCGGGTCATATCCCATGTCATCAAAATATGAAAGAAGGAACGAAACACATACGTCAAGAAGTAAGAAATAATAAAAAGAAATATTAACAACCTTTCTTCCAGCTGAAGTTGTAATTTAACAATTAAGTGGAACTAATTTAAGAGTAAAGTGTCTGAGTTTTTACGACTACGGATTCGTGTTTCCAGCACGTAGAGTGTGCAAAGACTTGTCAAAAATTAATGTTCAACACACCACATCGTGGAAAGTTTAAACCAAGAAGGTAACGAAGTAGTTTTTAAATACTAAACTACAATTATATAATAATAGTTTTCAACAAAAATACCCCAATGACTTAAATTGAGGGATCCCTAGGAGATTTTGCCACAAGGAGATTTTATCCAAAATTTAAGTGCCTCAAGTACCAACCCTTTTGATCATTAACAATGCTCTTACCTGGTGGGTGAAAATACGAGTGGGCCTTAGGCGAGAACACGTGACCAGTGCGTGTTGGCATAAATACAGCAGGGAGACAGATGTCTAATACAGAAGAAGATCACATCATAACAAGATTGAATTACCTTTTTTAAACAAAGTAACAAATAAAAGCTAACAGGGCAAAATAAAAATGGAAAGGAAAACGAAACAAAGAAAATAACAAACCGGTATCTTCCTTTTCTTCTTCAGCGTGAGCCAGTCTGTTTTGTACAGCCATTTGTAGTTCATACCGTTCTTGTATCTACAGGAAAAGAAGCGTAAAACAAGACGGCGAGTGCTAGTAAGCGCGGATTAAAAAATACAGTTGTTTCCATATAAAGTCTTAAGTGCGCATGTATTTATACTAAGAGTACTTTTCGATTGAGTGCTATTAAACGAAAACACCCGACGAAGAGAAGGAACACATCATACGGAGCCAAAGAGGACACAGGGTGAGGATGATCATGTCGCGATTGGTGTTGGAGCGCTGTTCAATTGAGTGTCGTAAAACCAAAATCAAATCAGTCACAAGGGACCAATCAGGAAATCTCCGAGGGCAGCCAATGAGAACTCGAAGTAAAAAACATGAAAAATGTTTGACGCGCGGGAAAACGTGAGTGACTGGTTGAGAAGGTAGCGCGAGATCTCAGGACCATTCCCATAGCATCAGGGGTGATGAAGGCACTAGACAGGAGCGTCGAAACGTTGGGTCTATGAATTGTAACTTCTCGGTTATATTCATTAAATCTTTAAACCAGAGTGGCATCAAACCATGTCTGATTGTCCACCTGGTTGCCATGTGAACTTTATTATATCTTCAATGCCATCCTTTCGTCACTCAGGTGAATATTTTTATAATACATATTGTGCATGACTTGTACTAATGTAAAAACTCACTGCTCTGCGTGTTTTGTCAGTCAGTTCTTGATGGTATTTGGAACTGTTTTCATTGAATAAATGAAGCCGAACCAGGAACTGAAACAAGGAAGATAGTGCAATGATCAAACACTTGAGTAAAAGAGAAAACTTACAGTTTAACACTAAACATTTAGCTCGCAAGTCACATTTCAGTTTCGTTTACGAAATGAAAAGTTTCAAACTTATTCTAATACAGTAAATATAAACTTATCATGGAGGTTCTATACTGCAATGATTTTTCATATGTACATAAATCTGAGAATTTTAAGAAAACGGGAAGCCTGTGACTATTAGAGGCAACCAAAGTTGGTTTTCTGAAGTTCTACTTCGCATTAGACAGCGATCGGTCATCACCGATGGTACAAAGAAGACCAATGATAACAACAACTACAACAACGACGATGACCAAGACAACTAAAATAACAACAACTGTGGCAATGACAACGAGGAAGACATTGCCAATTATATTGAATGTTGCTCTATGTAAAGTATTATTTCTATAACCACCACCATCAGTTAGACAACCAGGAGGCCTTGATATAAGTGACAGTCATTCTTCAGAGCTATCAAACAAATAAGCACACAAATTTGAACATCACATGTCTAACAAAGGTATTCAACACTTACATCCTCGGGTAAATCTTTACCCCACTCCGGTAAGTTAGGGATGCGGGGTCTTGGTTTCCGAGCCTGAGATTGTGGTCTGAAGGATTGAATAAGATTACATTAAAAACTGAAGCGGCCTCGGGAAAAAGTCCGCACACAACAAATGGTGTGCAAAGAATTAATAGCGTGTTCATGAAAGAAAAACCTGGTTCTAAAGAAAGTCATAAATTGTGTCGACGATCCAATAAAACGCTTGATTGAGCATTAACTAATGAATAAGTACGAGTAACTTTTGGGAAAAGCTGAAGTTCCGAACATCATCTACGATCTTAGAAGTTTTGTGATGAAAGAAAGAATACCCCTTGCCGATTTTTTAATTTGAATTTGGCTTCGCATAACCCATGTGCATGCATGCACTTGCATGCATAACCCATGTGCATGCATGCACTTGCATGCATAACCCACGTGCATGCACTTGCATGCATAACCCACGTGCATGCACCTCTATATTTCTTCACGATAATCAAATACCAGAAAAAACATATAAATGAAACGATTGACACTGCTAATGTTGAAAAAGCAAACAAACAGACAAACAAAAAATCATAAATTAAGTGAAATTTGATTGAGTATCCTAACACCAAATTAAAACCAAAGTAATTACGACGGCCAATCTGAACTGAACCCCCGAAGGAGTGTGGGTGGGTTCCCATTTTGGCTATCTGGGGACTGTCTGAAAACAAGGAAAGCCCGTGGATACAACAAACACCATCCTTCCGCGTGAGTCGTCAACTGTACATTACGATGCCAAGAAGGCGTTAAGGAACCTCACTGCTACCAACCAAGAGCTCAGTCATGTTACATTCAAATTTCCAGTCGGAACGGGCCAATATACTTTGTTCCATTCAATCTCTTACCTCGCTTGTGATGGCGGTCTCGGCGATTTCCCCTGTTCGGGTGATGGCGATCTTACTAGTGAAGGAGATCTAAAAAGGATCGGTGAAGTGGCAGCTACAGAAAACCAAGGAAAGAGATTTGTCTTAGCAAGCGTTACATCTTGATTAGCAAATAAGAACAAACATTACAATTCTAGTCCTTCATTTGGCAATCCTGACATTGAATGAAAGATGTGATAAGATAAGAGGTGTGACTCATCCTGAAAACAGTTGCAGAGTCGCGTCCGAGATGCGTTACAGTACCTCAAGTTTATCCAAAGCTTTATGTCCAATCGAAAAGAATTCCAACTGAGATGATTATAAACTACCCGAAGCTTTTCCGACGCTTTCTTCCCGATCACGAGGAATTCCGATC